CGAAATAAGTAGATAACTATATCTACTAAATTCAAATAAATACTTTTTTTTAATATATAAATACATTTTAAAGACATAAACAGGCTTTCGAATATATATTAATACTAAATACAAATAAATATATTTTTAAAAAAACGTATTTAAAAATATATGTATAAGAATATTTTTTATATCTTTAAAAAAGTATACACGTAAAAAACTATTTAAAAAATATATATACAGTAGAGTATTTTTATAGATTTAAAAAATGTAAGAATAATAATAATAATAATAACAATAATAATAATAATAATAATAAAAATAAAAATAATTATAATACTTCAAAATAATAATCAAAGCAATGTTAATAATAAAACTATCAGGAGTACGCATTATATCTTAAAAAACTAATATTGTAGACACAAAAGCTCAATCAGCTCACTGGTCGGGTGTTCGAATCCCGCCATCTTTTCTTTTAATTTAATCAAGCCACAAGGGCCTGTTTGTCGCATTGTCATCTACAATCAACGCTATGTGCGCGACACGTGTGCAACCAACCGGGAAACTTGCTTAAAGGACTAAAAAACAAAAAGTTATGTAAATCTTCGGGAAACTTGCTTAAAGGACTAAAAAACAAAAACTTATGTAAATCTTCGGCTTTACTGAACCTAAAACTCTTCAAATGGTTAATCCGAACACTTTCGGAAAACTTAAGGGTTTTTATGACGTTAGCCCTTAACTTATCAACTTTGTTTTTGTTTACTTTAGGTGTATATGGCGATTCACGAGCTTGGGGATTAATTGTGTTGACGGTTCAATTGAGATGAGGTGAGTTCAAATGAGATAAGCAGATCCTAAGATATGATATCACTAGAAGTTGTTTCTTTTTCTCTCTTAAGCTTTGCGCTTAGAAAAATATTTAAAAAAGTTTGCTTTTTTTTTTTTGAAGTTCCATCATTTTTTTTATAAATGACATCTCGTCTTTCACAAAAATATGCACCGAAAAGACCAATTTGTTAAAAGAGTGATTCATAATTTTTTATTGGAGAGACAGATGACCTTTCGTAATATAAGTTTAAAATATTATAGCTTGTGTTATTAACTTGATTCTGTTCGTCTTGTTTTTGCTTATTTCAAGAAAATAACCCCAGCTAATAACAGTGGATCTCTAAATCATGTTCTTTTCCCTTGTTAAATTAAATATGCACAAGGTTCATTCATTCATTTTAGATTCTCTTGAAGGACCATATGAATTAAAATTCTGTCTTTTTTAGTTAGTCTTCAAATAACGACAATAGCTATTAACAGATCAAAATTCAGTTAACGAAGACTTTTTCATGGCAACTTTTTCCATCATATATAAGTTTTCAGTTTACCAAGTTAAATTTTCTCTTTTAAAAAAAATATATAGTTTGGTCTGTAATTTAAAACAATAATAACGAAACCCATTTGATTTCAAAAGGCAAATATACATAATTTAATCAATTTGATAGGTACGTTTGCGTTTAGAATGAAACTTTATTTAGAATTACTTGGATATGTCTAACAATTTCGTTGAGGGTATAGTGCACTTCTAATTCCATCTAAACATATGTTACCAATTTTATAACTAATATGCGAAGATAAGGACTCTAAGAGAAAGATTTGATAACGAAATGTGATGTGCAGAGGATTTGTAAAGATTTGTGTGAACTATTTGTTGTAAAAAATATGAGAAACAAAGAATTAGACGGCTGTATTTCAATTTTTATTTATTGATCTTCGTTTTTAAGTCAATGAAGGTATTAGATAAAATGCTCATCCACAAGTTCAAGGAACACACCATGTTCAAGGAACACACCATCACTCTTTATTTAATTATCTTCATTTTATTTTCTTTTCCCTAATCCAAATGTTCAAGGAACACACCATGTTCAAGAAACACACCATTTTCAAGTAAACGCATTAAGATAACCCCTTTGACAGAAGTAACATACGAGCTTCAAAATATATAATCAATATTAAATTTGATCACAAGAAACAAATAGAACCAAATAGAACCATATAGAAGCAAAAACACATAGAACCAAATTGAATCGGAAACATACACAATGGATTTATCATACAAAGAAAATGTTTAATCAAACTTGTGAAAAAGAAACAAATAGAACCAGAAATACACACAATCAGATTTCTCAAACCAACAAAATATATTATCAAAACTAAGAAGAAGAAGAAGAAGAAGAAGAAGTAACAAATAGAACTAGAAATACACACACACATTCAGATTTCTAGTACCAACAAAATACAAAATCAAATTTGAGAAGAAGAAATATTAGAAGAGGAGATGGAAATCAGATACAGACAGATGAAGAGGAACGGGGAATAAAAAACTTAATCGAAAAAGGAATGGAGAACTCACATAGTTTTGTCGTGAATCATCTATAAAAAAGTCACCAGTTACAAAATAGATTATGAAGTAAAAAGACACTTTTAAGTGAAACTTGTATTAACATTAATCATAAAAACAAAAATAAGTATGTCCAAACTATCAAGTTAAGTTATATATTATTACATTGTTAAATCCAACAATAACATATAATACCATATGTTGTCTTGTTGTAATCCTAAAGCCTTGCTAAATTGGTTAAAAAAAATTATTGTTTTAGGAAAAATGACACCTTTGTGGAAATATATGACAATATTGCCCAATTTTCATTTTCGAGTATGTGGAAAAGGTAGCTCAAGTATAAATAAGGTCATGCAAACCATCATTTTTCTTATTAAAATCAATATGACAAAGAAAATAATTTGTTCTACAAACTTTTTATTTTTCTCTCTGGCTCTTCTAATCATCACACTCTCCCCAATACCAAATTTTGCTTCCGCTTCTTTGGAGGAAGCCAACACTCTTCTTAAATGGAAAGCAAACCTTCAAATCCCAAACAATTCCTTGGTTTCTTCATGGATTAATTCCCCTCCCTTTGAATTCCAGTGCATTCGTTCCATGCACTTCTTGGTTTGGAGTAGTTTGCAATGCTGATGGGAGCATTCACAGGTTGAACCTCAGTTCATCTGGCTTGAAAGGTACACTCCACCAATTTTCTTTCTTTTTGCTACACAATCTTACACATTTTGATCTCGGTATGAATAGCTTCTTTGGCCCCATCCCACCACAAATCCGACTCCTTTCGAAACTTGTCTACATTGATTTTTCAGTGAATAAGTTTTCTGGAGTAATCCCACCTAAAATAGGAAACTTTCACCAGCTAACCAACTTATTCTTATACTCAAACAATATATCTGGTCCCATTCCAATTGAACTTGGGAATTTGAAGTCTCTCATTGATCTTTAGGTGATCACAATCAGCTTAGTGGTTATATTCCTTCATCATTGGGTGATTTAACATCTCTGGATATCCTTTTTTGCAAAATAATCAACTTGTTGGTCCAATTCCAATTGAACTTGGGAATTTGAAGTCTATCATTGATCTAGATATGAGCACCAATCAGCTTAGTGGTTCTATTCCTTCAGAGATTGTAAATTCAACTCAACTACACAGACTTAATTTGTCTTCAAATAATTTGGTTGGTGTGATCCTAAAGGAGTTCGGGAAGCTGAAAAGTATGTTAATTTTGTACTTATCTAATAATCAACTCTCAGGTATGATACCTGTAGAATTCGGGTCATTTCGTGATCTCCTTCAACTCGATTTATCCACAAATAGATTAAACGGGTCAATACCAAAAAGTATTGGTAATTGGGCACACATTTACAGGTTGATTCTTAGTAATAACAAGCTCGGTGAGAAAATTCCATCTAAAATTGGTAAATTAGTGCAACTTACAAAGCTTGATTTATCTCATAATTTTCTCATGGAAAAGATACCATCTGAAGTTCAAAGTTTACAAAGCTTGCAAATATAAGATCTTTCTCGTAATAGATTATCTGGTTCTATTCCTTATGCTTTTGCAAGTTTACCTCGCGGGATTGACATCAACCTTTCTTACAATGAGCTCTCCGGTCCGGTTCCCCCTTGCGCCAACTTTGTGAATGCATCCATGCAAGGCAATCCAGGTTTGTGTGGAAATGTTACCAGAATGAAATTTTGTGCAAGTAAATCTATGAAGAAGAAAAATGATTCCTTTCATGATATGGTCATCTTAGTAATTATGTTGCCTCTTATCGGGGTAATTTTACTTGGTTTATTAACATATGGCCTCATTGCTTATCGAAAACAAAAGAAAATGTCTTCATTGAAACCATTGAATGGAGAAAGTGGTGATTATTTCACCATTACAAGTTTTAATGGAAAAGTAGCGTATAATGATATCTTGAAGGCAATAAATGATTTCGATGATGCATATTGTATTGGGGCTGGAGGATATGTTATTATATATAAAGCCGAGCTACAACCTACCAATGTCGTAGTTGTCAAGAAACTTCACTCATCATCTGATAATGTTGATCACAATGGTTTCCTTGATGAGGTATATGTATTAACGAACATAAGGCATCGAAACATAGTGAAACTCTATGGATATTGCTCCCATGCTAGCCACTCATTTTTGATTTACGAGTACCTTGAAAAGGGAAGCCTTGCATCAATCTTAAGAAGCGATGTCTTAGCAAAAGAATTGGATTGGTTGAAAAGGATCAATATTGTAAGGGCTATAGCTAATGGTTTGGCTTATATGCATCACGATTGCTCGCCTCCTATGATTCATAGAGACATTTCCATAGCCAACATCCTTCTCAATTCTGATTATGAGGCACAAATTTCTGATTTTGGCACATCCAAGCTTTTAAAGCTAGATTCATCCAACTCAACCACAATTGCTGGCACCTATGGTTATATCGCGCCATGTAACGTAACTTTGTGATAGTTCTACATTTTCTAAAGTTTCATGATATATATGAATGAGTATATCTATATACATGTATTTATGCTAGCATCTTATGGGTTTGATATTGCTTTATTATTATTATTATTATTATTATTATTATTATTATTATTATTATTATTATTATTATTATTATCCCATGTTTCTTTTGGTGTAGAGCTTGCTTATACGTGGTGGCAACTGAGAAATGCGATGTGTATAGTTTTGGCATGTTGCAATAGAAGTGATAATGGGAAAGCATCCTAGTGAACTACCAACATTTTCTACCGATTACTTGTTGCTAGAAAATGTGGAAGATTGTCACACCCCCAAACCTGAACGGCGGAAACATTCGGGGATGGTTGACTTCATATGTAGTATCACAACAATGTACAATAGTAATCAAAGTACAACATTCATTACATTGATAAAATATAACTTTACATTCGTGTTCAAATCATTGTATATTTGACACCAAAAAGTATAATTAAAAGACATAATTATATGAAACTCTGTCTTCCTCAAAACTGGTGGGTACCTGTTTATCGATTTCCTAAAAATACAAGTAGTTTTGAAAAGAGTGTCAACAATTAATGTTGGTGAGTTCATAAACATGTTTGTAATTGAAATCTGTTATTTAATCCTTTGAAAAATGTAAGTATGTTTTTCCCTAGAAAATCCTATATTTTCTGTTGTATATGTACTTGTGTTCAGAAATAGTGTGATATAGTTTTAAATTCCCATAAAACTATGAAAAATTATGTTTTCTCTGTACTAGAATAGCATACTGTATTTGTACTTGTATGAAAACTTGTGAAATTGTAAATATCTAGATTCACCAATTATAGTTTTATTTATATAAAACTATGTGAGGTTGTTTACTTATTCTTACACTAAACGTATTATTCAATACCAAATTGTGATTTATCATAACCATGCTTGATGACCTAAGTCTCGCCTGAAACATGACGTTCTTCAGGCGTCGAAATATGATACGACAATTGTCACCACAGGTCTGCCGACCTAGCTGTTGCAAGCAACTCTGGTGCGGGATTGTCAGTCCCGTATAGATCTATACACAAGTGTCACGCTCTCCCTCCAGGAGACTCTGGTTATAATTTTCAGGACTTTTGTTTTATACTTGAATAAGTACTTGAAGCGTGTCTCACAAATGCTATATTGACGGTTACGTGTAGAATAATGAAAAATAACTTTGTAATAGATAAACTGTAAATATCTCATAATCTATATTTAATATAATTTATATAGTTATTTTCGTAAGTTATCCTGAATATGAAAAGAAATATGCAAGTTCCATCAACTGTATTGATAAGTATGCATGACTCATAAACTATACCTATTATAGTTTATATGCTTGTTTTTATATGAAATCCTAAACTGGTAAAATATATGTTTATTTTAGTAAAAATAACAATCGTAAACTATTTGAATAAATTTTGTTATTTATACAAGATTTCCTTGTATTTTACTTGTATTTCCCCCCTAAAACATTATAAAAATAGTGAAAATATAGGGGTATAAACTCACTTGATAGGTGGTGATTCGGGCAACGTTTCGTTTCTAGAAAGGAGTTTACTTTATGAAACTGAGAGTTTTTGATGAAAAGTCGGCTTTACGCGGGCAGAGTTTCAGCTAAAAATTGAGGACTTCGGGACTTTGGGGCTTGCTTCAGGTGGTAAGGAGGTTCCAGGGACTTCGGAGGGTTTATAGAGGCTTAAATGAGTGTTTAAGATGAGAGAGGTTTTGGAATTTGTAAACCAAACTCGGAAGCCTCGCATCCTATTTATAGGAGGCTGAGGTCCAGTATTACGCTGGGCGTAATATTCATGTACGCTGGGCGTACAACTGAAAACCTCAGTACGCTGGGCGTAC